TTTTTGATATATATATATATATATATGCGTGTGTATTAATGTATAAATGCAGAGCACTAATTCCGAGTATGGGACACCATACTTGGCCACATGTCGCTTCGATAATACTTATACACAGTACACACATATATAGCATGTAAACATTATTTTTTATTTTGAATCGGTTAATCTTTTTGCAGCCCTAGTTAGTTGCCAAAATTTCAAATTTTTATTTATAATAAAAATATAATTATTTGTAATATATTAATATAATATTTTAATTCTTATAATAATTATAGCTTTTTCCCCCCGTTTTATTTGAATTAATAGTTTGTGTTTTAAGTTTATTTGCAGTATTTAGGTGACTCAGTCTATCATATTATTAAAATTTTTTTATAATTGAGTTTTTTTAAATAAATTTTTTAAGTATTAATGACTAACATAATTATTGACAATTATCTGTACTTAGGGGCTGTGCAATTAATCGAATGCAATTGTCATGCACATCTCGTCAGTAAAGCCGGTACTGTGATTAGTAGTAAATCTCCATCATGTGCTTTCAGATGGAGCAGCATTTAATGCACAGAGCCGTAGTTCACTGACAAGCTACGCAATATCGCGTTCATTGTAGTAATGCGTATTATAACCAATATAGGCATAACTAATCGCTAAATAATCAGATTTAATTAGCCATATTCTTCAAAAACTTTTTTTTATAAAATATTACATTTGCTTCTCCAGCCCAAGCATTTGCACAGATAGTCGTCAAAAAATTTAAAGCAGAAAATCCCTGTTTTTAATGATTCTCCCATGTGTGTTTCAGAGACTGAAGCGTCGCTGCTGATGTCGGGTCAGCCTGCACTTCAAGAATCCGAGCCGAATCCAGCCGAGTCCAGTGCTGGAGAGAGAACGTCAGTACCTCTTTAATCACATATGCTTGTAATCCTCCTCATGTTGTGTTCATGTGTCTGTTTTCCTCAGTGAAGGTCTGTCTGGAGTAGAGCTGTCTGACCTGACTCTGAACACTGAACCCCTGACGCATGTGGTCAGAGGACTGAGCCGCAAGAAACCGCAGCACGCCTTCAGTGTGTCAGCGTTCGAGGAACAGTTCAATCAACTGCCAGGTGCTTCACCTGTTATACTCATGTTATATTTGTTAGCAAGATTGAACTGGTGTTTTGCATATGTTTTGGTATATCGACACATAATTTGTCACATGTTCAAAGTTACTTAGTATCATCTAACACCTTTTCTATATTCTCAGACAACACGGAGGACACCTCGCATGTCTTTCATAAAGGTGATGTCTCTCAGGCGAAAGGAGATGCTTCTCAAGATTTAGATTTGTCTTCTGGCTCAAAAAGGTAAATGCTTTGTCCATGATATCTCGGTAGACTGGCCAAGTCACTAAAACTTACATTAGAAAGTTAATATAATTACTAGCTTGTTGTTAAATTTATTAGGAACTGCAATATAATACATAGTAGGGCGGCACGATAATGGTTAAACTGATAATCACAGTTATTTTGCTCAGAAATTATCAATAAGCATGATTATTATCATTTTTTAACAATTATTTTTGGATTTCATTAGAATTATTGCACTTTCATATAAAACGTCAACTCTTGTGGTTTATTGGACTTTGTTTAGGATCTAGATATACTTATCATATAAATACACACACACACACTTTACATTGAAAACCAGTACAACAAGAACGTTCTCTCAAAAGCTAAACTAACAAAATTCGTAATATTGATTCCCATGTTTCCAAATTATGTTAAAACAACAGCGCAAGTGCATTTATTCAGCAGTCGCAATTGCAAACAATATATTTGTGGTTCATGTTTGGATTTGTTACAGTTCAGGTTTTCTCGCAGATTTAGTCGCGGCAAACAGCCATATGAAAGAAAACAGACTAGCTGTATTAAACTTTCTTTTGAAAAAAAAGATTGCAGTGGAGATCGCTAAACTCCAACTTAAACGTTTGCAGGTGTTTTTAGATGATCAGTGCTTGATTTGCACATTGTTGCCAGGTTGGGAAGATAAAAACATTTGGCTACGTGTATCCATTTAGGAAAAAGCTTGCAGACTGTTTTGCTTAAATAATGAAGAAAAGTAGAAATAATGATCACGATTAAAATATGATTTATCGTACTGTAAGAAAGATGTAAGGGACATGCATGATTGAGGTGTTTTCAGTATGATTCAGGTTTATTTTCTGTCAGTGGGCTGAACCTGACCTTGAAGACCCCATTTGTAGAGAAGCGCATTGAGAGGGCGGGGCTTCAGAGGAAGGTGTCCAATCGGAGGCTGCAGTCTGTGGATGCATTTGATGAGGCCGTTCAGAGATGCCTGGAGCAGGGTCCTAACCAAGGTTTATATAAATTAAAAATTTTTGCATCCATCCTAATTTGTCTGCATCTAAAATGGTTTCTCTCTCCTTTAGAGCACTCTGTATTTCAGGATGGAAAAACTCTAGAAGATTCTTCCTGGCAGAAGTTCACTCTCGGCCTCAGTGATGTCACAGAGCTTTATGTCCAGTCTAAAAAAGATGACACAATGGGACCTTCTGCAGAGTACGAGAGAGAACATGAGCCCGAGAGAGCCAGTGATATTCCTGACTCCGAATCTTTAATTCAAGAAGAAAAAGATCATGAGATGGAATCACAGGATGAGGAAGAGGTGGTGCCTTCATCCCAAGATGATGTGTATGTGAGTGCAGAAGATGATATTGTACTTGCTCCAACGCAGGCGATGACAGAATCACTTCCTGAATCTCATGACGCGGAGCTACAAGATCGAGAATTTGTGGAGGAAGTTGAGATTGGGAACGTTGTGGAAATTGAGTACGAGAACGTTGTGGAAACTGAGGATCAGGAAGTTTTGGAAATTGAGAATGACAGCATTGAGGAAGTCGAAGATGAGAACGCTGAGAAAGTCGAAGATGAGAACGCTGAGAAAGTCGAAGATGAGAACGCTGAGAAAGTCGAAGATGAGAACGCTGAGAAAGTCGAAGATGAGAACGCTGTGAGAAAGTCGAAGATGAGAACGCTGAGAAAGTCGAAGATGAGAACGCTGAGAAAGTCGAAGATGAGAACGCTGAGAAAGTCGAAGATGAGAACGCTGAGAAAGTCGAAGATGAGAACGCTGAGGAAGTCGAGGATGAGAGCGCTGAGGAAGTCGAGGATGAGAGCGCTGAGGAAGTCGAGGATGAGGAGGTTGTTGAAGCTGAACATGAAAATATTGACACCTCACAGTATCTAGAGCGAATAACTCGTAGAGCTCACCGCTCAGAGGGAGGAGGTGCTGTCTTGGGAATTCCAGGCACCACGAGAGTCACAAAGAGTTTTGGAGCTGGATTGAACCCCAGAGAGAAAGGTGAGGACAATGAGACTGCCTGAAGTGACAAAATCACAAAGTTCTCCAGTTATCAGTTATCACCAGTGATAACTGAAATTAATTGCTTATTCAGTTTGTTTGTGGGCCAGTAAAAACCTCATGTGTTTCTGTTCAGATCTTTTGGATTTTGTTGATGAGGGCAGAGAGAGTTTACAGGACATTCTAGATGAAGAAAGAGAACCACTGAGCAGCCCTGAGTTTCCTCAGCTCCACCCTGCAGCAGAGCTCAGCACACCAGAGCAGAGGTCACAGCAACATGAGGCTAGTCTGGCTGAAGAAGATGTGCCAGAGCTTGCAGAAGATGATGACGCCCAAGAAGAACCGAACCAATCAGAGGAGGAGGAGCTGATGGACTCTGAACCAGCCAATCACAGCCCTGAATTTCCACAGGACGTGGAAGAAGAGGAGGAAGAGGACGATGATGATGATGCTCTTAGTGCAGGTGACTCCCACTTTCACATCCAGTTCATCTTGGTAAATCAGTGTGTTTGAGTCATTTTAATAAACTGGTTTAAGAACGTCCAGTTATACATAGTAAATCAGTTAATTTGATTGAATCGTTTAATGGACGAGTTCACCCAATTCTTTTTAGCAAGCCAGTTCATTTGAGTGAATCATTTCAATAAACTGGTTCAGTAACATTTTAGCAAAACTAATTTATTTGAATTAATAATTTTAATAAACTAGTTCAAAAACCAATACGTTAAAAATGTGCACAAATTCCCATATCTTTGTACTAAAATTCTCAAATTCTGCATTATCATAAATGTATTGTTACAATGTTTGCGTGAATCATTTGTGAGTGAGTTATACCCAATTATTAAAAATAACCATTTTAAAAGAATGATTACTTGCGAATCAGATATAACTAGGATAACTTGCATTTACTTTAGCTTTGTTTTTTTTTGTTTTTTTTTTCATTTTAGAATTGTCCGTGAAAACTCCTGTGTTTGTAAGACAGAAAAGAGTTTTCGCAAGTCGTACTGCGCAGACTACGCCAACTGTCCTTAAAGAAGTGAACGCTGGGTAATTTACCAACAACATTCTTCTTCCTGATGTCCATTTTACAGTCTCCTAATGCAAATCTAAAACCCATTTATCTCAGTCCTGCCCCTCAGGTTGCCAAACGAGCCCCCAGACAGAAGCGTCAGACGGGGGTCAATGTTCTTCCCAAGAGTTACGTCATGAGCGTGTTCAAGCACTTCGCCAAGACCAAGGTGGCCAGTGACGTCTACCCTGCCATTAATGAAATGTAAGCCCTCGGGGAACAGTTATTTACCCTATTGCAGCATGAATATTTGAAGTTACATCTCCTCCATTGGTTGTGTGCTTTTAAAAAAAAATTTTTTATTCCTCTTAGTCTTAAGAAGTACTTTGAGCGGCTAGCAGACGATCTGGAAGCATATGCTACTCATGCCAAACGTAAAACTATTGAGGTTGAAGATTTTGAGCTCCTCATGAGAAGGTAAATATTAAAAGGAATAGTTCAATTTACCCACCCTTAGGCCATCCAAGATGTTGCAGATGAGTTTTTGTTCATCAGAACAGATTTGGAGAAATGTAGCATTACAACACTTGCTCACCAATGGATCCTCTTCAGTGAATGGGTGCCGTCAGAATGAGAGTCCAAACAGCTGATAAAAACATCACAATAATCCACACCACTCCAGTCCATCAATTAACATCTTGTGAAGTGAAAAGATGCGTGTTTGTAAGAAACTAATCCATCATTAGGAAGCTTTTAAGGTTAAATGGTCACTTCAAAATATGAGTCTATAATATCAAAATCCACCAACATACTTGTTTAGAACTGTTTTGGACTGCTTTCGCTTGTTAACAGTGCTTAATTGGTGCACATGTCTCTCCTGATTCAGACGATGAGTTTTTCACTGGAGAAAAAGTATGGATGGACTGTTTTTGCTTCAAGATGTTAATTGATTAACTGGAGTCATGTGGGTTCTTTGTGGATTATTGTGATGTTTTTATCAGCTGTTTGGACTCTCATTCTGATGGCACCCATTCACTGCGGGGTCATTCACTATTCCTTTAAGATGTATCGAGTTGAATGGCTTGTTTTTGTATACTTTTGCAAATTTGTCTGTTTATCATGTTTCAGTACTTGTTTCTCATATTTTTCTTAGGCAGGGCTTTGTGACAGCCACCACGCCTGTGAATATACTGATAGAGAAATATCTTCCAATGGAGTATCGGAAACTTCTTATCCCGGTGGCCACTAGCGGAAACAAAGTCATCCCAAATCAAAGAAGGTGAACATGCAGATGTGACGTCCTCCTTAAACACTGCAGGTGGCTCTGCATATCTGCATGTGTTTTTGTAAATATGTTCAAAACAATAAATGCCTTGATTTGTAAATAAGGATTTGTGTAATATAAATCTGCTATTTGTTTTATGCAGCACAATTAAAAATATGCTTTCAGTTCTTTGTATTTTTTAGCCATTTATGTATTTTTTTTCCCCAAAACAAACATTAAAAACCACAAAAAATTCAAATTGAAGTCCCTGTCTTATTGTGCGTGATTCATCTGCACACAATATTCCAAAGACAATGTGCTTTTCATAAGCTTTCCTCAAAATAATTAGCCTCAGAAATGTTTATCCCATGGAAAAATATAAACCACAAATATCAGCTTTCTAATTCTTAGCTGGAAATTATCTGAAATATGCTGGTTTGGAATAGAATACTAGAGTATGCAGTATATACTATATACTAATTTATTCAGTCTATACTGTATACTTCCAAGATAATAAAAGTTGTATGATTTTAAATTAAAACATCAATAAATATTTGATAAATATTTTTTGCAGTGCAAAATTAATGCAATAGTAAATATTTCTGTATTGATTAGACAATATTTTGAATAACAATAATAAAAAATAAATATAGAAAAAATAATAATAATAAATCTAGAAATGTGTTTGCATGATGTGTCCACTAGGTAGCAGTCACACTCCATCACAGATGAGTTTAAAAGGCGTCAAAGTGGTGTCTAACAGGCGATTGAGTTATACACCAGTATTGTTCATTATAAAAATGGATATTGCCAATCTTGGATGCTGATTGGTCAGTACAACATTTAAAAATGCACATCATTGTATTCTCTATACTGTATATTATATACATAGTATAGACTATATCACTAACCTTAGCTTACTTATCATGATTAGATCTTGTGGAAGGTTTAAACTTCATGCATTTGCTTAATTTTTTTTAATAAGTGACTATTTTTAAAAGCAATAAGGACATAATATTTTGTGAATGCCTGAAGTAAGCAAATTTAAATTTGCCATCTTGTTTTACTCTTAATTTACTCATACATGCTCATTTCCAGTATAAAGCCAAATCTTGACCTCTTATTCATAGCTGCTTGTACTTTATTGCTTAAATAAGCACTTTAATGTGATGCAATGATGTATAGAAGAGTTTAGGTGAAAGTAATTAATGCACCATTTCTTATTCTTTTCCTCCAGCTTTTTTCCCTTCGCTAATGACCGAAGCAGACGTGTGTGTGTGTGTAAGTGCGAGAGAGAGAGAGATAGTTTTACAAGGCCAAGTCTGTTTTTGAGATTTGCAGCTCCATACAGACACTGGTTTTCTGTTCCTTTCGAAAACTCTTTCAATAACTCTTGTCTTTATTTAGTGTCAGACTGGATTTAGATCCAAATCTTTCTATTCCAGATCCGGCTCATGTTTCACACCGTTTTCATTGTGTTGTCGCTATAGATCGAGTCGGCTATCCAGATATTGGGTCCCTGTGGCCCTCTGGGGCCCCAACCTCCTCCTCCTCTTCTCCTCCTGCATGCAGTGACCCTTCCACATTCTCCACAGTATGAGTCAGCAGTGCAGCGGCTCCAGCAAACTCCATCTATCATGTCGAGTTTCATTACAATGTAGCACTTAAACCAAACATTGCTCGAAAACGAACCTCTGACAAGCCAATCTGTTCTCTGTCTCCTTCATAAAACCACAAACGTGGGTCACACAGTGCCGCAGCAGCCAGAACGCTCACGTCATCTCCCAGCGCATGACTCACCGGGTGAGAAATGATCCTCGATGTGGCTGAATCTGAGCGAACACGTGTGTGAAATTAGCTGACTTATTGCTTAAGATGAGATTTTAACTGATGGAGAGAGTGATGTCTAAAATTGAAAAACCACTCGATCTATGTTTTAAAGTCAAACATTGACCCTATTTACTTTCTTAACACAGTAATTCTAAAGAAAAAAACAGAATCTTTCATCAAATGTAACTTGCTCTGCTTCTGAAACGACTTTTTTTTTCAGCTGACATCATTGAGTCTTTGTTTTTAGCCCCTCCCCTCCATCTACTTGCCATATAGAGACACTTTTAACCAATTCCTGATGGAAAAAGTGTTTTTTTTTTTACTTGTGGAGAAATAAGATATATCACATTATGTGAGTAAAATAGTTTGCAGATGTTTCATGTTGACTTCACCCAGATTTGTTTTGTAGTTATCTCAACATGGTGAGCACTGTATTGAGGGGAAAATCTTTAGATAGAGTAACTGCATTCCACTAAGAAGTGATCATCCTGATTCTCTGTTCCCTTGAAAAACTCCACAATGAGAGCTTTAGAGGTTGAAGGCTGAATGGGCTCATTTGAAATAGCATACTAGAGAGATATTTTATACTGCAAAAATAATAACAGTAGCATGCTATTCTGAATTCAGCCCAAGTCATGTTTTGCATTTCTGTTTGAAACCCCCTACACTATTTTGGACAGTGTACAAGGACAATTTCTCCCATAAAGCGCCCTGCAAAAGCGTCATTTATGCCATTTGAAACGCACTATAAACAGCCGTTCACAAAGAAAATGTGCGCTAGATGGGCGCGTTTGATGGTTGCATCGAGTCTAGCGAATAATGGTGTTCTGAAAATGCGGCGCTCAATTTAAAAGAAATTAAACTTTTAAAAAAACGTCACTCTCGTTTTTAAACCAAAAAACCGCAAAGAACAGCCACTTAAAGGATCTGTTAAAAAAGGATTAAAACGTTCAAAACCGACTTGTTTTTTCCTTACTAGCACGTTTTGTTCATCACTTCGTTTCTGTGGTGTAGCCCCGCCCCCGTAAAACCTCATTGGTCTTCATATAGCTGAAATGTGTTCTGATTGGTTGTTGTGGACAGACAATGTATTTGTCGCTGGGAAGTTTATATATAAGCGCGTTTCCATTAACCTTCAAATTGCGCAAATTGAAATTCCGAATTGAAAATACGCCTAATGGAATCTCGTTTTCGCAATTTTGCAAAAACGCCCATATATCGCAAAAAAGTTTTTACTCTCGCATGAGGTGGTTTTTCGCATTTACAGGTCACATGGCGTATGTAAAAAGTCATATGATCATTCTTCAATGTTCTATAACCTCCAAGAAACACTTCATACATGGCCGCTCTCCAGTATAAGTGGCTTTCCCTACCATTAATGCTTAGACAATTTACACTGCACACGTCTGCGGTACAGTGTGGCTCTGATACGGCCACCGAAGCTGATTGCGGCCTCTCTAGTCAATGCTTGTGTTTAGTTAGTTCTCCTCTCAGTTTGCTTAGCAATCAGCAAAAAGTGCATATAGTACACCCCATATGTGTTTATTCCAGCCGCGCCATGCACGTTTCTGAAGCGGCTCTGTGCTGTTTCTGTAAAGATAAACGCATTACGCCTCCTTTTGAATAAATATAGCCAAAATCCCACCAAAATCCGTTGCCATGACTTATCGCGAGAGGCAAAAGGTTACGTTTTAGTCGCATAACATTGGTTAATGGAAACGCCGTCATTTTTGCAATACTTTTTTTTAATTGACATTTATCAAGTATCGCCAAAGATTTGCGCAAATCTGTAATGGAAACAAATTTGAATTTGAAATAAATTTTTAATTTTCAGAACTCTTTTATAGTTAGCAATGTTTTTTTTTGGTTTGTTTGTAAACCCTTAGCGTAGCACCCAAAGAATTGTGGTTTGCATGCAAGTATCGACAGAAAATTAGCTACTGTACTGTAGACCGTATTTTTGACATTTGATGTCATTCTCTATTGGTGAGATGTGACATCAGCCTGAAGCCTTCTTCTGGACAATGTAGAAAAGACATTAGCAAGTCGTCCAGCTCTCTGTCGAAAATCTCAAAGTTTGAATGGTCAACTCGTCCAAAACAAACAGCAGAGTTGTGGGGTCCCTCGGTCGTGGCTGGTCACTAGGCACGGATGTTTTCGTGTAGTTCTGTATCTGTTTTTGCGGTGTTGTGTGAATGTTTTCCGCTCTTCTGGCTGCAGGAAAAGTTTCCGTGTTACTGGCGCTTTTTCTTGCCCGTTCCTGCCAGAACTTGGACCCAGTGGACCCAAACCAATTTCATCATCACTGCGGGACTGAGTCACACTGCTACTCAGCAAAGAGAGTGAGAGAAAGATCTACTCGGCCAAAAATACATGAATATTACACACCAGATGGGAATAAAGTGAAAAGTAAATAGCAAAACGGAACGAAGGACAAAGATCTAGAAGGTTCAAGAAAGCTTGCTTCCCTGTCTTCCCTTTTTGTTTCATTTCACATGATTCAGTATATTTAAAGTCTTACAAATCATACAATAGCTTTGTGTGAGATGGCTATTATAGTTTACTAAAACTAAAACCATAAAAAATCATTACTTGATATAAAATAACCCTTATTAACAGCAATAGAATAAGATATGTAAAAAATGAAAGCTTATTTTATTTCAGCTAGCTGCCCAGGCAATATTTCTTATTTTAATTTAGTTAACTTGATGTACTAAAATAACTAAAACTGAAATAGAAAATGAATAAAAACTACACAGAAAAAAAAGGACAAAACAAACAACAAAATTACTAAAAGCTAAAATGAATGAAAACTAAAAAATATAAAGTAATATTAATATTGATTAAAAATATTAATAAAAGTACCTCAGTAATACTAAAAGAATGCTGGTGTGAGAAAAATTAAGTAATCTTTGTTTCAGTCTAAATTGTTTAAACCAATTTTGTGCATGGGATCAATTTGCTGAATCAGACATTGCTACTATTTGTCTGAACATACCCAAGCTGGATGTCGAGATTTGCACTGAGTATTGACTAATGAACAAATAACTTTCATCTATTCTTCATATCATACACATTTGAGTATAGCAGGAATGACCTACTTTTATGATGCTTAAATTTTTTTCCCCTCATTTTGGATTTCGAGATTTCAGGCTCCAGTCCTTATTGACATTAATTGTGTTGAAAACCATGAGCAATGATCATTTGTGTGATCTTTTAGAATGAAAGTCATTCAGTAATGATGGTGATGGGTGTACTATCACTTTAAGAGGTTAACGACACCTTCCAGTGTTTCAGACCACAGTATCTGTATCATCATGTCTTGCAGTAGACAGTCAGACCACCTCTAGCATACTGAGCGCTCCCGGCCAATGACCGCATCTCCCGCCCCCCTTCAGAAAGATGGGGTGAT